TATTGGGCCTACTGGGCTAAGATGGGTTGGAAACCCTAATTAGGGTTTGGAAAAACCCTAATGTCATGAAACCCTAATTTGGGATTTTTCGGGACCGCATCGGGATTAGTTAATGAACTTAAAATATTAAGTAATAATCATTGCAAATTAACCTAAGACCATGTGGGACTTAATGAATTAAGTCCTTAAGGGGTTAAGTAGGGACACTTAACCCTAATCATCATTTTATGTGAAACCCTAATTTCACTTGGGCCTTAAGTTGGGCCTTTCTATTGGGCTTTTAGTGATTGGGCCAATAGTGGGCCATCCAAGAATAATCTTATGGACTAGAATACGTAGATGGTCCACAGTTTGGGCCTTAATGGTTATATGATATTGGGCCATTAGAAATGCAAAATGTTGGATTGGACTTTTTGGTTGGGCCTTAGAATAAGGCCATGTAAAGGTTCGGGCCCAATTTGGAAAATTGGGCCATATGTTGGGCTTTGAGCCGTAGTTGGACTTTTAGGCCTTTGGATTTGGCCTTGGGCTTGAATCAAGCCAAGTTAGGGGTAGAGTAGTCTTTTACCCCCAAGCATGGACTTATGATTATGAGTTGGAACCTAATTATTAATTGGGTTTGTTTGATGTTGACAGTTCGGGAACCTGTCAACCAGCACTGGAGTTTTATCTGCGGGACTTCAGCAATGCCAGGTGAGTCTCCTCATCATACCAATGGGTCTAAGGCACCAAGGCCGGCCCATTTTATGATATTTAGTATACTATCTGAAGTTGTATTATGTGACATGTTAGCTGGTTATGTGTTAGGAAGTATGCTAGTGGTATATGTGGTATGTTTGTATGGAAGACCATGGGAGAGCCCATGACACCTGGATGTAAGACCATGTGGAGAACCCATGGCTTTCCTACTATGTTGTAGTGTTAATGTAGATTCACTACTGATATGTCTGGTATGCATGTATAGGTGGTATGCTAGTGATTATGTGGTATGTTATTTGTCTTTGTGATACTTATATGGAAGACCATGGGAGAGCCCATGACACCTGGATGTAAGACCATGTGGAGAGCCCATGGCTTTCCTATCAAAGACCATGGGAGAGCCCATGACACTTAGGTGTAAGACCATGTGGAGAGCCCATGGCATCCTGGAGTAAGACCCTGGGGACGAGCCCACGACATTCGTATATGTTGATATGTATGGATATGTGTTTGATATGGTTTATGTAGCTTTTATAGCTAATATGGATTATGTGATTATGTGGAATGTGTGGGGTATGCTCTGGGGAACTCACTAAGCTTCGTGCTTACAGTTTTGTTTATTGGTTTCAGGTATCATCGATTTGGAAAAGAAGGGCTCGGATTGATCGCAGTGCACGCACCTATGTTTTCCGCGTTGAATGATTTTGGGATGAACTCTGATAAATATTTTTAATTAACGATGTTTTAGATGTTTGGAATAAATGATATTTATAGTATGACTATATTAAAAATGGAAATTTTACCCTTGATTTTTGGGTCGTTACACTATGTACGGCACATAGCACCTTTATTGATTATGATATATGAATGATATGTATGGCTTGCGATTTTGTACGACATGTGTGGATCATTTTTTATGTGTGGTATATGGTATTTGGGGAACTCACTAAGCTTTGTGCTTACGGTTTTCAGTTTTTGTTTTAGGTACTCCAGTTTTCAAATGAAAGAGCTCGGGACGATCGCAGCGCATACACCTGTGTTTTCTGCAATATGTGATCTTTGGGATTGGACTATGATAATTGTATTATTTGAAATGTTTTTGAATGTTTTGAACAAAGTTACAATAGTGTTTTGATTATAATAAAAATGAAATTTTTACCTTGGATTTTTGGGCTGTTTCACTAAGTACCGCTTGAACCAACGTAAATCGACCTCCAAAGGATAGTGTTTTCGACTTCCAGGTCAATAGTTTTGAGTGAAATTGATCTATTATAGGCTTCCATTGCTTTTTTTAAGTTCATGTTTGCACCTACTAGGACTCCAAGGTAGGTGAAGGGCAGTGTAGCGGGTTCGCAACCAAATGGGGCTGCCTATCTAGTGACCTCTTGTATGTCTGCTCCGATTCCAAATACCTTCGATTTGGTGAAATTTACTTTGAGTCCTAAAGTAATATGGAAGCATCTAAGCATGCACACTAGGTTTTTTTATGTTCTCTTTGCTCCATTTACCTAAGAATAATGCATTGTCTCCATAAAACAGGTGAGAGACAGGGTCGGCTCTACCCTTTGCAAAACTAAGCAAGGGATTAGGGCCTCCAATTCTAAAGGGCCACCAATTTTAAAACTTATGCTATTAATTATATATGTATTTATACGTATTTCTTGGGTTACAAAGACAAGTTGGAGCTTGGCTTAGTGGTAAAAGCGTTGTTTTAGCAAACCAAGGGTCTCAGGTTCGAATCTATTTGCATACCCGAAGGGCCTCGATTTTTTTGTTTGCTTAGAGCCACCAAATTGGTTGAGCCGCCCCTACTGAGAGATGGTCGTCTTCTCGTGTGGCAGCGTCATTCCTTGGAATATCCCTTTCTCGCATATCGTTTTCATAGCGATATTCAATCCCTCCATCACCATTATAAAGAGAAACGGGGATAGGGGGCCGCCTTGTCTCACCCCTTTACCAATCTTGAACTCGTCTGTCGGTGCGCCATTGATGAGGATAGATAGTTTGGTTGACTTGAGACAACCCTTTATCCATATTCGCCATCTATCCCGTAACCCATCTATAGTAATAAGGAGTCTAAGTAGTTCCAATTCATCGAGTCGAATGCTTTCTCAAAGTCTGCTTTGAAAAGCAAGATTTTCTTTTTCACCTTTTTAGCCCAGGAACATAATTCATTGATAATAAAGGGTCCATCGAGAATGTTTCTACCTTCTACACATGCCGTTTGGACCTCATCGATGTTCATACCAATGCTACTTTTAATTCTATGGGCTAATGTTTTGGAGATGCTTTTGTACAAGCATCCAATGAGACATATTGGTCGATAGTCTAAAAGTTTGAGAGAGTCTTTTATCTTAGGTACCAATGTTATAAAGGAGGAGTTGCATCCTATATCTAGTTTCCCATGCTTTTCAAAATGTTGAACAAACGTAGGATGTCACCATGTAGCTGATCCTAATAGGTTTTGATGAATTTAAATATGAATCCATCCAACCTCGGTTGCATTGTATTTTGACCACGAAAGACTGAAAAACTAAAAGTACGTTGCTATAAAATTTAAAAAAACTGAAAGTTCATTGCTATAAATTCAAAAAAGTTAAAGAAAATAAACATAATATTTTGATACTACCACTAACGAAAATTTATAGTTTTGACATTGCTATCCTCGAAGAGTGGGAGCTATGAACTTATTTTTCCTTTTTCATGACATAAAGAAATAATTGTAAATAAATTTTAATTATAATTAATGGCCGAGATTATAATTTTTTGGATTTTAATGCATTAGTTATAAATACTCCCATAGCCATAGCAATAAAATATTTTGCTTTATGCATTTGTTCGTATTTATTCAATGTTACAAATTTTTAATCTGACGGTAATTTCACGAAAAATACGCAATAATTGCTTTTATTAATAAATAGGATTGATATTTTGCACATAATGGATACTAATTTCGATCTTATTATTTAAAATGATATATTTCGAAAAGTTATAACATTTTGTTAATAATTTATTTTTAATATCAATATTAAATGTATAATTAAAACAAATTTAATTGCTATTTTTTTTTTTTACGATGAACGGTGGAGCTCGTTGAGTTTATTATTCTTCAAAGATTAAAAAAGAAGAAGCAATCAGTGCCAGGTCATGGGTTGTTGAAAAAAGGGTCCACGTGTCAGCACCCTAAATAAAAAAAGACAAAAAGTGTCCGTCTGATTGGTTGCTTTTCACCCTATTAAATTGTCATATCTACCAATTAACCCCTTACCTTTCTTTTATTGTCATTTTGTTATTACTCAATTACTTTCCTTCATTCTATCCACAAACTTCCCACCCCATATAACACTATAGTACCTATGATATCATCGATGTATTTTACAAAGGAAATACATTTCATGAGTGAAATATTAATGTATAAAATACAAATTCATATAGTTGAGGTAGTTGGTTCAAACTTGGATATCAAGCTCCTTGTTCATTACCATTTAACCATCTCATGCTCTAATCTTGACAATAAAATTAGTTAGTCGGACCATTTAAAGGTGGTATTACATGGTTTCACTATTAAAAAAAAATATTGTGTATATCATTTTATATAAAAAGTTGATAATACTATAAACTAATGTCATAGAAGATAAATCATTATTCAATGAATCTATTATCGTGTTTATGTATCTTGGAAACCGACAACACAAATACTTTTAATGAATTTTTTTTATAGAAAGAGAGTTCTGTTATGAATTCAACATTCGTTATCTTATCTGGTTACTTATTTTGCAATAATGGTAACATTCCAGAATTAAATAGAAAGCATTTAAAATCCAAGGAATATGGAAACAATTTGAAATTTGAAAACGATGTAGGAACAAAGTTGTATGATTCAATGTACTGTTTGTTTAATAGATCGTTATAATTTGAAATGACATACACATATCGACCATTTTATACTGTATCCTTCACGATTTCATTAAGCTCAACAAACACCCTTAAAACAGTTTCCTATATGATGTATATATATATATAATTCAAGACCGTTATATAGCATCATATGATTCTCAATGTAAATTTTGAGAAACGAGTTTTGCACTTTAGTTTTAATAGAAATTTGAATTGAATTTCAAATATATTACCTTAAAATAATTCAATACTTTTCTACATTATTTCAGTTTCACGGTCGGAAATATATTTGCTCAATAATATATATAACCAAAAAGTCCTCAAAATAACTAATTAACTAATAATAATAATGAAGTAAAGATATTTAGTAAATATGGATCCTCCATCTCTATATGCCCTAAAACCAAATCTCCTCTCCCCTCTACATAAGCCGCACTCTTTGCTATTCATTTCTTTCATACTCTCTGGTAAGAGAGAGAAACACAAAGCAAAGAGTGCGTGTATTATCTATCTATTTCTTCCGTCTGAATCTTCAACCAAGATGAACCCTTTTAACAAAATCAAGAAATCCCAGCTTTGATTTGCATACATTCTTTGAGTTTTTCTCAAAATCTCAGTTAATTTTTTTGGTTTTAGAGTTTGTTTTCCTAGGGTTTGTGGAAATGACACCCAGTCTTGATTTTGCTGTATCAAGGTTACTGTGTGCAGAAGACAATGATAGCATTTGTTATGACGATGATAATGGTGATGTGGATGATTTTATGGGTTTTGGTCGGAACATTTATCCAAATGAAGAACAGTATCAAAGTTTGATTAGGAATCATGAAATAGACTACTCTGTTCTTGATTTGCCTTTGCAAAATGATGAGTGTTTGGCTTTGTTGATTGTGAAAGAATCTGAACAATGTGTGGGTGTTATGGATTATCTGAATAAATTGAAGAATCAAAACCTGTATTTGGTTGCAAGACAAGAGGCTGTTGATTGGATTTCAAAGGTTTGTTTGGCCTTTTTTCAAGATTTTTTTGGTTAGTTTCGGTTTGATTTGTTCTTGCTCAGATTTATATTTTCCGGAAAAGAAATACCATTTTTTCTGACTTAAACTTTTTGGAATCCTTGAATCCTGATTTATTTCGACTCTTCTTGACTCAGGTTCATGCCCAATTCAACTTTGGACCATTATGTGCATATCTTTCTGTAAACTACTTGGACAGATTTCTTGCTGTCTATGAATTACCTGTAAGTTGTTGTTATTAATCATATGCTTACACTTACCTAGTTACGCTTATTATAAACATAAATGTTTAATATCACCGTTTAATTTTTATCTAAATCAGAAGCACAATCCTTGGATGATGCAATTGCTAGCTGTTACATGTTTATCACTTGCAGCAAAAATGGAGGAGACCGAAACACCCCCGATTGTGGATTTTCAGGTCCGTTTTCCTGTTCTTGATGAATTAATTGAGTTTTGTTTTCCTCTCACTAAATGTGGCATTGAATTTACAGTATGGTGAGAAATCAAGATCTATAATTCATTAATATTTTGACTTTTTTTGAACATAGGTCAAACCAAAACTAAAACAATTTACTGAAACTCTGCAGGCTGGTGAATCAAGATTTGTTTTTGAACCAAAGACAATCCAAAGAATGGAATTGGTTGTGTTGAGCACATTGAAATGGAGGATGCAATCAGTAACTCCATTTTCTTTCATTGATTCATTCATTGGGAAGCTTGATGGTGTTCAAAGTCAGATCGATCCAAGATTTCTGATCTTGAAGTCCACCCAACTGATATTAAGTTTGATCAAAGGTAAAACATCATATTTTATTGCGTAAAGCAATTAATTGGGCTCCAAGATTGAGTTTCCAAAGGTTAAATCGGTAATTTCACAATGTAGGGATTGATTTCTTGGAATTTCAACCATCTGAGATAGCAGCAGCAGTGGCGATTTCTGTAGTTGGAATTGGATTTGAAAAGACAAACGTTTCTGCAATCTTTGAGCATGCAAAGAAGGTAGCACGCACATTGTTCATATTTAGTTGTTGTTACATTGAGTTTGAGCAAAAAAAGATAATGAAATTTAATGATTTATGATCATGGGTTTTTGCAGGAAAGGGTTCTTAAATGTATGGAGGTTGTGAGCAGGGGTTGTACCATGAGCTTTGGGAGTGGTACAATGACATCATTGCCTGAAAGCCCAATAGGTGTGCTTGAGGCTGCAATTTTGAGTTATAAGAATGATGATTCACCTACTTGTTCTAAAAGGAGGAGGCTCAGCAACATTATCCCTTGAAAAAAAAATCTTGGAATTATTTTTTAATTGTTGGTAGTATGATTGTGAAATGTCAAAACTACCCGTCAAAAACTACAAAAAAATATATACAAGAATAAATTATGAGGGGTAGTAGGATGGTAGAAAAGAGTTATGAGCTCTTTATTTATGAGAACTCTTTTAAGGCAAGGAGAACAGATGAGGAAAAATATAAAAATGGAAATATATACATTAAATTTTGTTTTTTTTAACATATTATGTTAGTATTTCTTTTTCCTTATTTTGGAATGTGGGTTGGAGTTCAAAGAATTTCAAAGAAATATTCAATCTTCTTAACAAAATAAATAATTAATCAGATACTCATTATATGATATTAAGAAACTGCAAAATGGCCCATTGTTTGTAGTTTTTTTTTTTTTGACTAGGGTATAAATTTTTTCATAACTTGTAAAAATGCTCCCTTATTTGAGCCTTTGTAGTTCTTAATGAATTTTTTTTCTACACCAAAAGTACATCGTTTTGTTGTTTCCTTCTAATTTTTTTGATTGTTGTTCCTTTAACATAGGATAGGATAACTACTTGTCTATTTTCAATTGTCAATTTGTCATAATGCTTCTAGCAATCTAATTTCATTGTTCCATTATTAAATGAAGAATATACATAATAAATACTATTTTTTATATGGGAACAAGATGTCAAGAACAATAATTAATGCTCTTTGTCTTATTCTTCCAAAAGAAAGCTGTGTTTGATGAAATGGTTTATAATTACTAAAAAGTTGTAATCCATGGTTCCAAAGAATATTTACGTTTATGGAAATTAATTTGAATATTATACTTTATAAACGGTTTTTAAAATTTCATAAACATATACTATAAAATACATTTTTGATATTCTGGTTGTAACTATTTTATTTTAATGATTTGATGGTTTTAAATTTTAATTATTCTCTTGATGATATATCTTATATCTACAATATATGAATATTATATGTATGGTATGTATATTCATGAAATAGATTTTTAAAAAAGTTTTGTTATTAATATGAACTCCTCTAATGCTTAGAAATTGGTTTTGTTTATGAACTTATGCATCAATGTAGGATGCGTTTGATACTGTATGACTTACATATCGGATTTGAGACTTGAGATACTAGAAAAAGTTTGAGAATGATCAAGAAATGTTGAGAAAGTTTGAGAATGAGCAGGTCGCTAGCAACGTTGGAGTATTGTAGAGTTAAGGTTGCTTTGTTCTAAATTGACTACGTGTTTTATCTTGCGACCAATCTAATTGTGAAATGTGCTGCACTTTGAAATTAACTTGGGGTTTGAGATTATAAGGATATGCATTACATTCTTTTGGAACTGTTTAACTCACTATTCATGAGTTTGATGTTGTTTAGCAATGTTTAACTTTGAAATGTTTTTCTCCAAATATCAAAACTATACAAATATTTTGAAAACCTTTTGGGAGTTTGACTTTGGGTTCAAATTGTTGACCTTACCCAATACCCCTGAGAATTAACCATAAGAACACTCACAATGTTTTCAAAGCCTAACTTACATATTTGACGTGTATTTAAGTTGAAAGACTTAGTTGAAGACTCATGATGGATTTTTGCTTTAATATATTTAGAAGTTGTTTTAATTAAGATTAAAAATATATGTAATGTTGTTTATTTACCGTTGTCTCTAATTATTCTGCTATATCCATGTATGTTTTGACAATTTAAACATTTTAAAAGTATATCATTGTATGTTTTGACAATTTAAACATTTTAAAAGTTAAGGGCATGACTTTCTGAGACCATTATTTGCAAATTGATTTTTTTAATAATTTTTTGTTATACAAAATATTTTAAAAATTAATCTTTAAATAACTATATCATATAGCATATATAAAGGAAAATATCACTATAACACAATAAACTTTTGCTTTTTTTTTTCGATTTAATCACTAATTTTTTTTTGTTTTTTTTCCATAATAGATCATTAAAGTGTCATTTTACCGGTTAAATAGAACAATCTTATAAATTACTTCCGTTTCATCGGTTATATTTGGTCCAGATGGCTTTTTTAAAATTTTCAAAATTAAAAAAATCAATATTTAGTCCATGTGGCTTTTTAAAAATTTTCAAAATTAAAAAAATCAAATCCTTAATATGCGTTTTCCCCCTAAATCGAAGATACCCCATATCTCCCTAAATCGCATTCATCAGTGAAAGAGAAAGATGAAACACTCCTCCTTAGTCCTTACGACTGTGAACCTCAAGTCCTTCCTAATCGACCGGATCTCCAACAAATCGACTCTCTCCGCATCCTCTTCCTCGTCTTTCACCTTCTCCTTCGACTTCTCCGACTTTTCTCCAGAGTTTTTCATCGGAGATGCCAGATCGGGAACGCAGAAGTTTCCTCATCGTCCTTGGAGGCAGATGACGACCTTCACTTTGCCCTTGGCATTTTCAGACGGCGAGGGTTGTTGACGTTGAGGGTGTTCTTCTCACGTGGACATCCAAGATCAATTATTTGTTGTTCTTCTTAATGTTGACTGCTAATTTCATGTTGTTCTTCTTCAATGTTTTTTATTATGATTTGGATGTTCGATATAGGTTCTTTGATTTTTCTTTTGGTGTTTGATTTTAGGAGTACAAGTGTATGAGTATTCAAGGAAGAATGTGCATCTGCCTGTAATTTCCTAATGTTCTTCATTTCCTGTTTTTTGTTTTTTTAGATATTTTTTGTATTTGGTGTTCGTTTTGGTGCGTTCGTTAGAGGAAGATGAATGGTGGTGGTGGTGCTGGGAGGTGGAGATAGGGTGCGCGGCGGACGATTATGGTAGTGGGAGGTAGAAGGTAGGTGGAAGGTGTGTGAGTTGGTTTACTGGAAGATGTATTAGGGGTTGAAGGAAGATGAATGTTTGATTGTTGTACACACGAACTGGTCCAAATGAGGGGTTCATTAATTTCAGTTGTGGTTGTGGACGGTGATGGTGTTGGCCGTGGATTGTGGTTGTGGACGGTGATTGTGTTGGCGGAGGTGGGAGGTGTTCCCAAAAAATAAAGACAAAGATGACATGGATTAAGATGATATGGCTACCAAAAAATAATGATATGAATTAACAAAGCTGACATGGATTAACAGATGTGGTTACCGAAACTTATTAATTACACATAAGTATTGTTACCGGGAAACCTTCTAAATCCAAGAATAATGGTTTAATTGATAGGTCAAAAATGAGTTTAATGGTCTATTGCGTAAAAAAATAAGTTTAGTGACCGAATCGGACAAATGATTAAGTTTAATGTGCTACAATGACATTTCCCCCTATACAAAATGTGTTATATGATCGGTCTGAAAATATCAACCAACTTAGGCCATGTTTGATAGTTTCTGACTGAATCAGAATTGACTGAGTCATGCCTAACTGGGTCTGAAGCTCTGATTGCTTTTTGTTCTGACTGAAACCATGTTGTTTGATTACGTATCTGGCTGGTTGTGTTGAGTGTTGGAAATGACCATTTTACCCTTCTGTTTTGTTTTGTGTTGAAAACACATGTTACATTAGTTTTTGCATATGCCTATTACACTTAACTATTAAATATTGAATATCAAATTGATTTGTAATACCCAAATGTTAAATTCAATTACAGTTAACAGTTTTTATTTCAATTTTACCATTACAAATACTCTTTGTAAACATGTACTAAAAAGTCGCAAACTATTTTGAATTTACCAGTTATTAGAGCATGAAGACTTCTTTATCATAAAGCTTTTCTGGAAAGACGCAACCATTATGTTTGTCATCAAAGGTAGATCTAAGAACCCATGTCTCAAGATTACTTCCCAAATTTTTTATTAATTCTGCAAATTAGTTCATAAAACACACTAAACAAAACTAGAAAAATAACAAACATTATTAGCAACAATTTTGTCAAACAGTTGGTTTGCAACAATTCTTCACCATTTCTTCATCTTCATTCTCATCCCAAGACCCATACAAAATCGATCTAGGAGACCCATAACACCCACCTTGACTTTCCTTAACAAACCTATAATACATCATCGAACCACCATTTCCAAGATCTTCAAAGCTCGATTCTTTAACACCATAACCCATTTCCATGCAACGATACATAAAATTCAATGGGTTTGAAACAACTCAACACCCTTTCGACCAGAAGAGTTAAATCGATTGATGATTGAAACAACTCAACACCCTTACCTAATAAGCCGCTTAGCACTCACTTTCAAAATCGATTAAAGATGAAGAGGATTAGTAGTGGTGGAAGAAGAAGTTGTTCGTGGATTGAAGGAGAAGGAGAAAGAAGAAGTCACGCCGTTTAGGAGCAAAGAGATAGAGAAGGGCAAATACGTGAAACTAGTGCGAAGGACCGAGTCAGCTAATTTTTCTTTGAGGACTGAATCAGTTGTTGTGGACTGAATTAGGTGTGCAAAGAACTCTAATCAAACAAGCTGACCACCTGACCCGGACCGAGTCAGAAAAAAAGGTCTGACTGGACCGAGTCAGGCCACAATCAAACACCCCCTTAGTAATTATTGGGTTGGGTCAACTTTTTCGTGCTCCAACTTATTATTTGCTAATAAGCTTTTTGGGTATTCGTATTTTCCACAATTAACCTTATTATTTAATAATGTTTTTATTTTATATTCTTATTAAAATTTAAAATGTATATCTTTACTATTTTTTATTAAATAATTTGTCGTATTTTAAATCAAAAAGTAAATTACATAAGTTGTCTATAAAGTGGTATAATTGTCCATATAGTGGTATAATTATGTAGTTTTAGTAATAGTTCCTTGATTTTTTTTTTCAAAAATGGCCCTTATTGCAAGTTTAGATTCATATTTGGTCCCTCCAACCGGTAATCTAATTATTTCGGACAAAATTTCACAAATGGTCCTTATGGTTTTAAAATGTCCCCAAAACAATCCTTATGAAACTTTTTTTTGCATGAATTGTCAATTTCGACAAAACTTAGCACACCAATGGTCTCTTTCGACAAAATTTAACACATCAATGGTCCCTATGTTTGACTCTGTTAAAACAATAAGGGTTAGGGCAATGCAACAATTGGTCCCTGTGGTTTCATCACCGGACGCACCATCTCTCTCTCTCTCTCTCTCTCTCTCTCTCTCTCTCTCTAAAAACATCACCAACCTCACCCACACCATTGTCTTTTTCTTCAATTACTCATGTGCAAATCTAACACAATGAAAACTGATAAACACACAC